AGAAGACAATAAAATGACAACTTTTAAGCACTGAAAGGGAAAAAAAAGTAAACCTTAAATTCTATATGTTGTAGTTAAGGTTATGTGTCAACTTGGCTGGGCCTGGTTGAGTGGATGGGCAGCTAGCTGGATGTAGTTATTCCCCATGATGAGACTGGTGGTAATCAACTCCCTGGTGGAATCTACTGTGAGCATTTGAGTAGCTGCTTTAAGGATGTGGTCTGCTTCCATTATATAAGATACTTTGAGAAAGGTCTTGAAGTTCTTGGCACATTTGGATCCTGCATTTGGCCGAGTCATCAGTGAGTGGCTTGCTATGTTGTCTGCTGATCTTGGGACTGTTTCAAGGCTTGAACTAGTGGCCTGCCATGTTGCTTGATAGTCTTGGGACTGTGCCATTTTACTTGTCAACCTTGGGGTTGTCAGCCTCAACAGTCAGCAGCTGCCTGAGTTAAGAGATGCCTCCAGCTCCCGTGGGCCAGGAGCAAGAGACAGAGCTGAAGCCCAAGGTTGAGGGACCTTTACCCAGCCCCTAGAGTTGGCACATTGAACTTGGACTTCCAGCCTCCTACCTGTAAAAGAATAAATCCCTGTTTGTGGTATTTCTGTTACAGCAGCACTAGAGAACAAAAACACTGTATATAATGAAAACATCTTTTAAAATAAAGGGGAAAGAGAGACATTTAAAAATAAACAAAAAACATGAGAAATCACTGCCAGAAGACCTGCACAACGAGAAATGCTAAAGAAAGTTCTTTATGATGAAAGAGCATGATCCCAGCTAGAAACTAGGATCTGAAGAAAGAAATGTAGCAGGTATACCAGAAAGAGTAGATACCTGAATAGATACAGCAGATTATTTGTTCCTCACATAACAACAACAACGTCTTTAAAAGGGTATTGACAGATTAATGCAAGAAGAAGCTTTAAAACTATTACATGGATTAATATATGCAGAAAAAAAACATAACAATAGTACACAAGATGGGAAAGATAAATGAGTTATCTATTATAAAGTGTATACATTGTAAGTAAAGTGATATAATACTAATTTAAATTAGATGTGGTAAGTTAAGAATGCTTATTAGCAACCTTAGAACAACCTCTTAAAATAATGCAAAGGAATATATAGCTTAAAAGCTAAGAAGCCAATACAAAAACTATAATGAATACTAAAAATTATTCCAATAGAAAGGAGAGAAAGAGATATAAAGGAAGAGAAAAAAAAAAACAGATAAGAGAAATAGAAAACAAATAATAAAATAGAATTATACTCAAGCATATAAATAACTACATTAAATATAAATGAACTAAAACTCCAGTTAAAAGGCATAGATTGTCAGTCTGGATTAAAAAGCAAAGAAACCAGAATCCAATTTTATCTTGTTTATAAGATACATATTTTAAATATTAAGACAGCATGAAGTTGAGAGCAAAAGAATGAAAAAATATATATCATAAAAACACTAGCCAACAGCAAGTTTTTGTGGCTATCAGACAATGTAGTAGACTTAAGATAAGCAGTATTATAAGAGGTAAAGAGGGATAAAAGGGATAATGATAAAAGGATCAATTCTTCAACTAAAAAAACAAACCAGACTCACTGCTGGCAAGTCGAATCTGACTCATAGTGACACCTCCTTGGGTTTCTGAGGCAGTATCACCACGGAAGTAGATTGCCCAGCCTTCCTTCCGAGGAGTGGCTGGTGGCTTTGAACCGCCAGGCTTCTGGTTAGCAGTCAAATGCCTTAGGCACTATACCACCAAACCCACTACTGTTGGGTTGATTCCAACTCATAACAACCCTATAGGACAGAGTAGAACTGCCCCATAGGGTTCCCAAGACTGTAAATTTTTGCAGAAGTAGACTGCCACATCTTTCTCCCACAGAGTGGCTAGTGGGTTTGAAGCACTGACCTTTTGGTTAGCAGCTGAGCACTTTAACCACTGCATCACCAGAGCACTCAACAGGGTATAACATTCCCAAATGCCATGCATCAGATAACATAGCTTCAAAAAATATAAAGCAAAATTTATACACCCAAAAGAGAAAATAGACAATTCAACATGTATATTTGAATATGATGGATAGCTCAAGCACATACAAATCAACAGATACGAAAAAAAGAACAGTACTATTAATCAACCTAACTTATGTGACTCTGGTAGCATAGTGCCTAAGGCACTTGACTGCTAACCAGAAGGCTGGCAGTTCAAACCCACCGGCCACTCCTCAGAAGGAAGGTTGGGCAATCCTACTTCCGTAGTGATAACTGCCTCGGAAACCCAAGGAGGGGTCGCTATGAGTCGGGGCCGACTCGACG